TCAAAAAAATTGGGAGACCACTGATCTGTAACTATGCTGGTCCTGGAGATAAAGCATGTCCTTGGTTTGGAAATGTGCAAGTGGATCAGATGTGCAGCGAGGAAACACGCTGCTGGGTTTAGATGTGAGAATTGCTTCGCCCTTAATTGAAAGGGTGGTGTTTTTTACAAGTATCACCGTCAATGACTTGTCTTGAGCAGCTAATTAGTGCGATTATTCCACAGCTGCATTAGTTTCACCACAAAGGTTTTCTCTTGTTTTATCAAAAGGATCAGTGTCTCTGTGAATGTTTCAACCTGACAGGTCTTAAATAGCAAGATGGTCCCCTCCCTCCCTGCCCCCAAAATGTGTGCTCTGGAACAGCAGAGTTTGATCTCTTGGGGGAGCAAGGGTGGGTTCTCCTTTTTCCGATTCGACTCTGAACTGTTTTCATCATTGGCCCTAAACAAAGCCGGAAAACTTCCAGCAGCGCTGGCTCGGGTTCCCCAAGCACAAGTAGCTATCGGTGCCCGCAGCCCAGGGGAGACCTGGAAGGGGTGCTGGCTCCTGGGCTCCTTTGCAAGCTGTCCTGGCAGCGTCCCGCAGGTAGCACCTAAACACTGGAGCCAGAGGTGAGGTTTGCAGGGTTACTGCTGGCTTCCCCAGGCATGGCCCTGCATCGTGACAGATTAATGAGCCCTTTCCTTCCATGGGCTGACGGCAATCCGCTGCAGCAGTCAAAATCGGAAACCAAATATCCTGAATTCTACCCACTGTAGCTCTTTCTTATATGCAGTCACGTATTCTTATGTGGCCAGCCGTGGCAGTAGGCTCATATCGTATATAAATGAAGATGATTCTTTGGTTTGTAGGATAATAAAGGAGACATTATGATGAAGAGTATACCAGGCAAGTAATAAAAAGGAGGAAGTATATGTAAGTCTTGGTTGCCTAGGAAAGGCATTGCTTTCTGAGTTTGGGAACCTCTTTTTTTTTTTTTTTTTTAAATGCATTTTATTTTATTCTTTGTTCATCTCTGTTTGAGGAAGCTTTGGGTTTGAGGACTTGGTCTGTATTTTTAATTACAGTAATTTGTCTAGGAAACCTGACATTAGAAGCTTTTATTTTTTTCTTTAAAAAAAAAATCTAAAATGTTAATTAAAAAGCAAAGCTGAGTTAAATACTCTTTTCCCAGTTCAAAATCTCTGGAGAAGTTTCTTAAGGATACATAGCTAATGCAAAATAATATTTGTAAACCAGACAACTCCGATAAATAATGCGTGTGAACCAGAGAACTTGTTTGATCAATTTATAAGAATCTGAAGACAAAACTGAGCAACAAAAGACAAGTTTGTCTTTTTGCCTAAGGAGACAGAGATAAAATGATCAGTACACATGTGGGAAGGTAGATTAGGCTCTGAAAGGTACGGTCTCTGTAATCGCTTGAGCTAATGGCAAAAAAATCAAACCTGATTTTAATCTGATCAGTTGTCTTTTATTATCTGACGGCCATCTGCGTTATAACTTATGTATGCAGTAACTAACATTTCCCAGGCATCTGTGTAAAGGGTATGTAATTTAAACTTATTAAATAAAACGTTATCACTTCATGATTAATTGGATTGGCACATGACACTCATAACTAATAACTCTGTCTGTATTACACTATGCTTATTAGACTGCTAATGGGTAACCGGTTTAATCATATGTCAATTAAAAGGATGAGTTGGTTTCATTTATTGCAATTAAATGGTATCCCTAAACTGTTTGCAGGAAGTATCTAAATCACATTGTGTATCGGTTGTGTGTGTGGGCTCTGTTACCGACTCTACATAATCCGGGGGTGAATCAGTTCACGTATGAGCGTTGAATCCACGTGTCCGGGTTCTGGGTCGTACTGCGTTACGTGGCACCGTGCTCGATCGTGGGAGCAGGTCTGCCTGTGCAGCAGCATGTAAAGGTCTAAAAAGATGAAATTTCAAAACCCTCTTGATGAAGCCTTTGGCGTAACAAGTTTTTCATTTGCTTTTTTTGATTGGAAACCTGAGTTTCTGACAAACCTTCTCCTGTTTGCTCTCTGGAGGATACATGGTGATGAAGCCCAACCTGTCTTCCATTCGACCTCGGAGCTTTGTGCAGAGCATCCTGCGGAGAAGAGGAATGGACGTGGTGGGGAGGGGAAGGTGGGCAGGAGGACGGTCCGTGTTGTGCATGGGGCAGGCTTAGACGATGAGATACTGAAGTTTCAAACAGTTTCCCCATTTGACCGGTGTCACTGGTGGCGAGTGGAAGGAGCGCTGGTGTGGTGGTGAGACCGCCCTGCCCGCGGGAGGAGATCTGCAGCCCCCAGGGGATGAATAATGGGAAATCTGCATGGCAGGAGCTGTCTTGTGTTCCTCCAGTTTCTATACTGCGTAAAAGAAATTATAGCGTGCACAAATAAGAGAACGATCTGTCCGCTGAGCTCGCAGCTCTGTTGTAGCTATGCTGGTTTCTGGCTTCTCCTTTGAAATAAGGATGAACAGGACATTTAGTAATCTCCTCTCAAGCTTTTTCTTCCCCCTCATCTGGCCACCGAAATCTGGATGTGAATAAGATCAGACTCTTCCCTTTGCTGGCGTCTGCTCTTCTTTTGATACTTGTTTAAAAAGTACATTGCTTGACCTTGCGCTGCCTACCTAATTACATCCAGGCCGTTTTGTTTCCAGTGAATTAATTAAAATATTGAGCAGAATTGCAAAAGAAATAAAACCTGGAAGAGTCTTTGCCCTTGGGGGAAGAATTTGGCAGAACAGCATTTTCTGGGGCTGTTGTTTCTTTTGAAGACACAATGCTTGAAGCTTTTGTTGACAATTTTCAAACAACAGTAGACCCCCGAATCACCCGCAGGAAGCTGTAAGCACAGTTGTTGGTGTGAGTAGATACGGTAATTGCATGAGTGATTGATGAACCCCTGGCAGGGGCTGTTTGAAATGCCATGGAAATCATTTCTCCTTCCTTCTCCCTTGCAGACCCCAAAATTTTGGTATATGGGAAGGTTCTTCTGAGATGGCTTTCAGCACGCTTGGCTTTGGTAGGCGGAGAAATAGTTCAAAATGAAAGAAGGTGGGAGGAACTGCTGGGTTACCAATCTTGCAGCATTAGGTATCTATAAAAAAAATGCCCGTGGCACACAAATGAGAATCCTGCTTAGTGTGACACAAAATAAGCTTTTCCTCAACATGAGGAGAATGAATCCTTCCTTAAAAGCAGCATTTGAGTGCCTTTTTTTTGCTCACCTATTACAGTGGTATCCAAAGCGGGGTGGGCAGGAAGGAAGGTATCAGTGCTTCAGCAACACATCCGTATAATTCATAAAGAAAGAAATATAGATATATTGGGAGTGCATGCTCAAACACTTTTTCCTCGTAGATGCGCGTGATCAAAAAAATTGGGAGACCACTGATCTGTAACTATGCTGGTCCTGGAGATAAAGCATGTCCTTGGTTTGGAAATGTGCAAGTGGATCAGATGTGCAGCGAGGAAACACGCTGCTGGGTTTAGATGTGAGAATTGCTTCGCCCTTAATTGAAAGGGTGGTGTTTTTTACAAGTATCACCGTCAATGACTTGTCTTGAGCAGCTAATTAGTGCGATTATTCCACAGCTGCATTAGTTTCACCACAAAGGTTTTCTCTTGTTTTATCAAAAGGATCAGTGTCTCTGTGAATGTTTCAACCTGACAGGTCTTAAATAGCAAGATGGTCCCCTCCCTCCCTGCCCCCAAAATGTGTGCTCTGGAACAGCAGAGTTTGATCTCTTGGGGGAGCAAGGGTGGGTTCTCCTTTTTCCGATTCGACTCTGAACTGTTTTCATCATTGGCCCTAAACAAAGCCGGAAAACTTCCAGCAGCGCTGGCTCGGGTTCCCCAAGCACAAGTAGCTATCGGTGCCCGCAGCCCAGGGGAGACCTGGAAGGGGTGCTGGCTCCTGGGCTCCTTTGCAAGCTGTCCTGGCAGCGTCCCGCAGGTAGCACCTAAACACTGGAGCCAGAGGTGAGGTTTGCAGGGTTACTGCTGGCTTCCCCAGGCATGGCCCTGCATCGTGACAGATTAATGAGCCCTTTCCTTCCATGGGCTGACGGCAATCCGCTGCAGCAGTCAAAATCGGAAACCAAATATCCTGAATTCTACCCACTGTAGCTCTTTCTTATATGCAGTCACGTATTCTTACCCACTTCCAACATCCTTCCCTTGAAGGATGTCCAGTTTGGTATTTACATACCCAATTGGTCTGCCTTAAGCTACAGAAATGTCTTATAAATGGCTTTGACTTCTGAGGGCTAACAAAACGATGGATTGCTTCAGAAGGTGTCCCCGCAGTCCGTGGCAAAGCCCCATGGTTTTTCCCGTGCTCTCTGGTAGGAAGCTTTGTAAAGTGTGACTGAAATAAATCTGCTGTTGTTGGTTATACTGCCTGTTCTTGTATCTCACTGCGCTTGGAAGAGCCTGGTAGGCCTGAAGTGGGAGTTCGGATGGGTTTTTTTGGGTCTGGTTTCTAGTGATGAAGAGCGTTGCCACCAGCAAATCCAACCCCAAGGTAGTAATTTGTAGAAAATAACTGAACTTTGTTACGTTGTGGTTTCATGGGAGAGGTAGATCATTAGACCTGGAGTATTATCTATACCTATCATTAGACTTGATACAACCCTTTGTAAGTGTTTAAAAAACGGAATATGAGCACCTGCTGCTATCTATAAAAGCATTTGGTTCTTCTCGTGGATGGTTGCTGTATAACTGAAATAGCAAATAGCTCTTTACAGCTGGATATTGGCGATTGGAAACAGTTAGCTGCAGTCAAGTTAAGGCAGCCTAATGTGTCTGCTAAGTACCTGAAGTAGGTCCGCTCTGAATTCCCTCTCGCCTGGTGCAGCGTATCCTCACCCATCCCACCCCACGTTGCGGTGTAATTCTGCAAGCTCCGACCGCTGGAGCCATGGTCCTGCTTGTGGAAGCTGAGCTTTCTCTCTCTGGTCTTCCCACAGCAATTCCGAGCATCCTGGCGCTTCCAAGCCTCCCTTAAGCTCCTCCAGCATGACCTCACGAATCCTGCTACGACAGCAGCTCATGCGTGAGCAGATGCAGGAGCAGGAGCGTCGGGAGCAGCAGCAGAAGCAGCAAGCAGCCCAGTTCATGCAGCAGCGCGTACCCGTCAGCCAGACACCTGCCATCAACGTCAGCGTCCCCACCAGCCTGCCCCCCGCCACCCAGGTACCCATGGAGGTCCTCAAGGTACGCCCATCTCCCTGCTTTTCTATTTAGGAGCTCTTCCTAAATGCCCCTTTATTTAATAGGGACGTGGTTATAGGGATTTGCGGCAATGAAATTTTGCAAATAAGCTGCGCTCTGGCTTGGTTTGCAGCTGATTGTGGTGTCCTGCTAGCGAAGAATGGAAAACCTTTTTTATAAAGTTTCGTGTGACTTTTCTTTTCTTTAAACTTTGAGATCTCGGGAGGGAGGTTTTGTTACAAAAGTAATGTTTCCGTCATTCTCCCTTTGGAAAACACTTCTCCGTCTTTCTAGTACTTAGTTATTTTCAAAAAGAAGAAATTATTACTAGATATTAAAATCAATATTTTGGCTTTTAAAAGAAAACAATGAAATATTTTTGTAAAATGGAGTCAAAACTCATTACGAAAGAGTTCCTCAGAAAGCTTTAATCTGAAATACGGGTGAGTTTCCAGCCTCTTGCAACGAGCCTTTGTAATCCTTTTTTGCTTAAATGACTTGTTTGCTATTAGTAGCTTTGGATTCCTTGTCCTACTGGAAACTGTAGGAGCTTGTTAGTGTCCCTCTGTCAAAGGGGATGTAGCTTGCTAATTACTTGGGGGGGAAAAAAACGTGAACAACTATAAGAAAAGAGCTAATTTCATGCACAGGGTAGGTCCAAGTAGAGTAAAGCAACGTGAAATGTGTGAGTAAAAGAATGCAAAACATTTTGGAGAAATTTGCTGACATATTTAATGAAAATAAAATTTTCCTTAGCTTTGAAGAGTTACCTGTTTGCTCTGCATTATTGCTAAATCTTTTTATTTCAGTCTGATGTCTAGTAACCGCTTTCAATCAGTAAGCATATTCCTACCAGTTAAGTTAATTGAGCTTGGTTACAACACGCTTGTAGTTTGCTCATCGCTATTATGTGTCGATACATATTCAAAGGTTTGGTTTTAAAATAGACTTGCAGGCTCAGGATTTCGAGGCGGTCTGTGTGACGGGCTTATGGCGGGAATGTCGGGTGCTTTTATTTATTGAATCTGCATTATGGTATTGTGTTGACAATGCCAAAACTAATACTTAATTGGGGCGATAGTCGTACTCAAGTATGGTCTGCGATCTAGGAGCAAAAAGGCAACAGTTGAATTTTGAAATACATATATGCGTATATACTTTATATATATATAAATGTTTCCATTAAAAATTAAATATATAATTTGAGCATATGTGCATACAGTAAGGGGTCCAAAATTGACTGGGAAGAACTATTTTGTGGAACGCTTGTGTGTTACGCACAACGTTTGTGTACAAAAACTTGTTAAACTTGTTCCCAGGTTATGACACCATAGTTCTAATTCAGATCCAGCAGATGTGTGGGTGCTATGAAATAGGTTTTCTGTTTGTCATGCTCTTAGTTAGATAAGTGTATGTTAGATTTTTGCATCCTTTCATCCTAGTATGTTATGACGTGAATTCTAGGGGGTTTTTTTAAACCTTTCTGAAAACTTGCAGTTTATTTTCAAATGATATTTTACCGTTAAGAAAGGAGTGTAAGGTCTTGAAGAAGCACTCGTAGTTGTCTGTATTGTTCATTTTACAATTGCCTCTTTATGTGAGAGAGCAGGGGAGAGGCAGCCCTTTATTTCCAAGGGACAAACTGCAGAAGACGCTGCAGCCGAGAGGCGATGCTCACTTATTACAAATCGGGTTACGAGGAACTGGCCTGTCATAGGATTTGTGTGCAGATCTGTAATGTGCTGAAGCATTGCTGGGGAACTTCACGCAAGGGATTTGAACCTGAATCCTCATCCTCCAGGACTGCAAAAGAAGTACCTGTCCCCTGCTCCCTCCTGATGGAGGAGAGTCTCCTGGGAAGAGGGAGGGCACCCCCTCTGTGGTCATCTTTGGCCCAAATGGCAGCGTGCATGACCCTGTAGAGCAAAAAAAGTAAGAGAATGCGTGTTTAACTGACTTGAGAATTAAGAGTAATACGTGGCGACAAGTGTCATCACCTGCATTTAAGTAAGTAACAGCCAAAGGTAGCAAAGCCAAGTCCTCTTGGTCTCTCCCTGCAAATGAGGGGGGAAAAAAAACCTGCTTAGCATAGTTGTGCTGCTTGTGGTTTTGGTGGGTGAAAGCAGCTAAAGATTCATCCTTCTACCCTTACAGATAAAAACTGCCCCAGTTCTGTACAAAAAAAAAAATTTAGTACAAAATACCAGGCTGGAAGTCATGATCCTGCTGCAGCTTTACCACTGATGCATCAGTGAGAGTGGGATTTCACTGGAAGGTCCATATGATTTATTTTTTTATTTTTTTTTTTTTTTTTTTTTTATTAAATAAGTTCTTTGGCTCAAAAGATAAGATTAACAATAAATCAGGATCTTCCTGGTGCCGATATGCTGACAGCCAGCTCTGCCTGCAGGAACGCTGTAGGAGTGACATCATTTCCCTGCAGCTGCTTTTTATACTTCACTTGTTTTTTTAGCTGTAGTCAAATCTTCCATATGACCCGTACAGAAGTTTTAATTAGACAAATAGGGAACTAAGTTGGTAACTTCATTATCTAAATGGTCTGGATTTAGTGACCTTGAAGAATGAGAAAGACAAAAAGGGGATTTTTACACTTCCAGAAATGTTAATCTGCAAGACGGGTTTTTTTAAGTGAGATCTTTTTCAATATTACTTCACAAACAAATAGGACCAAATGTAGTGGTTGGTTTTGTTGTTGGTTTTGTTTGTTTGTTTTGGAAGTTAGCATCAAAAAAACCCCACTCCAAGCCTGCTGAATTGTCAACATTTTGTGTTTTTAATTACATTGTGTGACTTGCCCTTTCTCCCATATCTCACACTGTGAGAAGGGGAAAAATACTTGCGTGTCTGAGAATGGTAGTTTGGAATGACTAGCTTTAAAGGGAGCCAGAGGTGTTAATGAGCTTGCATTTTATATTTGTTTTCAAGATGTTTAAGATGTTCATTTAGAAACAATACAGAAAGAAAGAGAAATACAGACGAATCTGTGTCACATTGCGTAGGAATCTCCAAATTACATAATGTGGTATGTTTAAGGCCATATGAATACACAGAATTTCATTTTCTTGAGTAATGACTTCTTATTGCATCACTTCTCTGCCAAGTAATGTAGTTTGGCAAGGTAGGAAATGACCTGTTGGAATTTAAATTTCGTGTTGCATTGTGCAGCCTAATTAAGTGATGGGCTAGGAGCAGGTCTAATGCATTTGGAACAGTATCTCTTTGAATCTAATAGCAAAAGGAAGATTTGTTATGGCTTTCAGTTGTCCTTCTGCAGAGCTGATGTGAGCTTCACGGATGTACGGGCTGGTTTATCTTATAGCACCTTCTCATCCATCTCCTGTGGTGGTTGGTGAGAAAGGCTACAGAGAGATGTCACAAGGGTTTCTTGGCTTCTGCTGCAGTTCAGCTTCTTGTTCTGCCTTGAAAATAAGAGCACGTAACTCAAAATGCTGATCATTGGGATAGTTCCAAGCCCTATCAATGCTGGAGCAGGATCCATTCCTGAGGTACAAAGTAAGTGTATATTTTTATTTAAGAGTTAACTTCTTTGCAAAGAGTTCATCTGAAGATGTCTTCAGTGGGTTGTTTTATGGAGTAGCTTCTTCCATACAGGTGTATTTTAGTTCTGTATACTTAGTAGGTATTGAGAAGCTGTTCTTTTTGTTGTTGATTGCAGTTACTCTCTTGGCTGGTAGGAGCCCATATCTGTTGGAGCAGAAGCACTGCTGCAGATCTTAACTTTAGTATTCTAGAGCTGATCTCTGGGAACTGGTGTCTGCATTTCTGTAAGCAGGGTTACCCTGGGATTTGAGGAGGTTGTGCATCGGGTCCCTGCCCATAGTCACTGATGATAGGTTGGTCCTTTTGCTCCTCAGTCATCCACTTGCAAAACATTACTGCTATTAATCCCATATTGTTGTGGAGTTAAAGTTGTTAAAGGTGGTGAAGTCCTTGGCTATTAGAAATCCAGAGAATACGCTCTGGTTTTGTAGTGCAGCTGGTCTGTTAACCGGCTTCCCCATAGCTGTCTCAGACTGCATCTGTTGCTGTAGTCCTGCTTGATATCATGGCATTAGCTTTTCCCCTGTAGTCCTGGCAGCTGCCTGTGGACAGTTACTTAGGGAGCATCTCCTGTTGATGTGACAGAGTTGCTGCATTCTGGTTTTCGTGTTTTTCGTGCCTGCTCCCAGCCCCCTTTCCTACAGAGTGACTTGCAGGACTCTTGCAGAGCAAGTGATCTCCCTCCTGCCAAGCCACAGGCAGCAGCAGGACAACTCCCTGCCTTTCTGACGGGCAGGGATACCCTACCCTCCTCTTTAGGATAGTTTTCAGTCTTCTATGTCAGTGCAGGCAGCTGATTTTAGGAAATTTTGTTGTTGTTGTTGTTCCGCAGGCAGTAACCAGAGTTTTATGTAATGCCCCTCTGGCGTCCTCACCAAAGCTGCACGGTAGCAGCATGGCAACGGGGCTCATCACCCTTTGCTTGCTTTTAAGAGACACAGAAGGAAAAATGTTTTCCTTCGTCTTTAGACATCTAAAAGATCCAGGGGGGAAAAAAACCCCTATGGAATCACTCTAAAGGCTGAAATTGCCAGCCATCATCATGCCTTATTCTCAGAAGCAAAGCTTGTAAGATCCTCTACTTGTTTTTTGGGTTTGTCTTTGAGAAGTTCTGCTGATAGAAGTAGTCAGACTTGAGATGCCGATTAAGGCTTGCCTTTGAAGATTGCTCTCTCCTATTTATTAATAGGTGGGCTTGTCTCAAAGTAGTCTTACTTACAAAATTTGCACAGCTCCAGAAAGTAAGCTTCTTGCAGCAATTCAGAGAGGTGGGCCAGGAAAGGA